TATATATATATATATATATGATAAAGCAATATGTAGATCATTACAACATCTTATTTTGGCATTTATATATAAAATTCTATTCAACTTTAAAATAATATGAACATATTTTCTTAAAGCACCACATTTTCTTCAGTAGAGGACTTAACAATGCTTGCCAACAAGGGGGCTGTTTATGCCTCTGTAACAATCTCTTAACAGATTATTACCAGAAAACAACTTTTTAGAAAACATAAATATCAGCCAAAATGATCTGATAAAGAAATTCATCAGCCTTCCAAAACATTTTATTTTTTGAAAATTAAGCAGGCCAATCATAAGTTATTACATTTAAAAGAATGCTAACTAGTCGCCCACAAAATTTTGAATAAGACTGGTATGCAAGCATACGTAACAGTTGCAGCCAAAAGGGTCAACTAATTGCCTAATCAATTAAACAAAATTGGCATAACTTTTGAATGGAGTAAAATATCCATTAAAATTTTCTGGAAAGTTACAGTATGCCAAGAAGAATCTGATAAGAGGACAGCGGAGACTTGGATGGAAATGATTCTAAAAAATGTGCCATCACTAAAAACAAAAATAATGGCTTCTAAGGAATGGATCTGTTGCAATGGAAATCGACATTATGATAGCTGTTGCTAAGGTAACAGTTTGAATAATTTTTTTACACATTATCATGAATTTTTTAACTGAATATGAAGATGGAAACACTCTTGGTACTCTAATTTATGAATTTAAAGTAAACAAATACCATGTCACTGTTGCCATAGCAACCAATATTACAATGACAATTGCATATACAATTTTAAGGTTTAATTAGTAAAAAATGCCAGAATGCACAATGAAAATAAGTAATATCCGTTTTTTTGGTAAGTTACCATTTTGCTGTTTTCTGTTAAAGCACCTATAACCCCTCAGTCAAACGGTTGGTTCATTCTCTGCATGAATATGTGGCCAAATACGAGGAAATAACACAGCCTGAGTCTATCGTTTCCAGGAATGCACTGACATATTACAATATTTTATTGCTTAATACGCATTTGTATGTTTAAATTTCTTTAAATGAACAGGACATTTTCATACTTTGAAAAAGTCGTTGTCCTCTCCCATAAAACAAAGCCCATAAAATGAATGTACATTGTAGATACCTACCCAATAGTTTTGAACTGTTGAAGACGGATGTTTAGTTCAGACCTTTTGGCAGCTAAAATAAGCCCATCACTTCCTCATTGGCAAATGCGTTTCCTCTCTAAAATAACAGAAAATTATTAAAACTTATAGTTGATTTTTGACTTCTAATGGAGAGTGTATTTGACGTTTGTACAATGTTTCTACGGTCATAAGGACTAAACCGCGAACTGCATCATTTGGGCCAACGTCGTCAACACAAAATACGCAACGTTATCTTATATCATGAAGCATGAAGGCAAATGCAACTTGTTAGTTGATGTCATTTTTTGTGCTTAATTTTTGGCTGACATGTGGAAAATATAGCAACGTACCCTGAATATCTGTCTCCTCCATCTTCTACAGACCTCTTTCTGAACACCTCTCACCTGAATTACATAATAATGTTCATATACCCTGTGGGAGCAGACGGCTCGTCTGATGGCGGTTATTTAGGAAATTATTAGTTTTGGCCTCGTTTTCAAAAAGGGGGCTACAGCTCCAAGAGAAAATGGCGGGAGAGAAAGGCACAGAGATCAGTAAGATGTAGAGGTGTTTATACAATTGCCTTTTGAGTTTTATACTAATAAACTTTACGAGACGATACAGTATATAATTGTGTAACATTTTATACAGCATAAGAATATCCTTGTATCAATTTCACTGAATATTCTCCTAAGATAAAATGGCGGCACACACAACGTAATTGTAAACATAGACTTTTGAATTGTACCAAAGGTAGCTTAATGGGTTTTTTCTTTATCTGTTCCTGTTTTATCATAATTTGGCATTCATTTTTGAACATGTAAGTTTTTTAAAATGTGCGATGGCCTGTAACTTGTAGATTTTCAACATTTCCAACAAGCTTTATATTCACTGGTAATGATAATTTTGTCAATTGAGTGATGGCAGTAGCGTTCTGGTCTCATGTGTGGAATGAATGTCACAATGTAAGTTAAATATTTGTTACTTGGCTTTTTATGTAATTTCTTTATGTTTTATTGTGAGTAAGTTGAAGTGGTTTGCGGAATGGCATTGTCACCCGTCCTGTATACACAAATGCTGTACGTACATTGTATGTGCATATGGTGGTGTACCAGTAGTTGTTTGCAAGGCGGGTGGGGGGGGGGGGGGGGGGGGGGGGGAGGGNAGTAAACAAATACCATGTCACTGTTGGCATAGCAACCAATATTACAAGGACAATTGCATATACAATTTTAAGGTTTAATTAGTAAAAAATGCCAGAATGCACAATGAAAATAAGTAATATCCGTTTTTTGGTAAGTTACCATTTTGCTGTTTTCGGTTAAAGCACCTATAACCCCTGTGTCAAACGGTTGGTTCATTCTCTGCATGAATTTGTGGCCAAATACGAGGAAATAACACAGCCTGAGTCTATCGTTTCCAGGAATGCACTGACATATTACAATATTTTATTGCTTAATACGCATTTGTATGTTTAGATTTCTTTCAATGAACAGGACATTTTCATACTTTGAAAAAGTCGTTGTCCTCTCCCAAAAAACAAAGGCCATAAAATGAATGTAGATACCTACCCAATAGTTTTGAACTGTTGAAGACGGATGTCTAGTTCAGACCTTTTGGCAGCTAAAATAAGCCCATCACTTCCTCATTGGCAAATGCGTTTCCTCTCTAAAATAACAGAAAATTATTAAAACTTATAGTTGATTTTTGACTTCTAATGGAGAGTGTATTTGACGTTTGTACAATGTTTCTACGGTCATAAGGACTAAACCGCGAACTGCATCATTTGGGCCAACGTCGTCAACACAAAATACGCAACGTAATCTTATATCATGTATGGAAGGCAAATGCAACTTGTTAGTTGATGTCATTTTTTGTGCTTAATTTTTGGCGGACATGTGGAAAATGTAGCAACGTACCCTGAATATCTGTCTCCTCCATCTTCTACAGACCTCTCTCTGAACACCTCTCACCTGAATTACATAATAATGTACATATACCCTGTGGGAGCAGACAGCTCGTCTGTTGGCGGTTATTTAGGAAATTATTAGTTTTGGCCTCGTTTTCAAAAAGGGGGCTACAGCTCCAAGAGAAAATGGCGGGAGAGAAAGGCACAGAGACCAGTAAGATGTAGAGGTGTTTATACAATTGCCTTTCGAGTTTTATACTAATAAACTTAACGAGACGATACAGTATTTAATTCTGTAACATTTTATACACCATAGGAATATCCTTGTATCAATTTCACTGAATATTCTCCTAAGATACTGGCGAGTAGCAAAATGGCCGCACACACAACGTAATTGTAAACATAGACTTTTGAATTGTACCAAAGGTAGCTTAATGGGTTTTTTCTTTATCTGTTCCTGTTTTATCATAATTAGGCATTCATTTTTGAACATGTAAGTTTTTTAAAATGTGCGATGGCCTGTAACTTGTAGATTTTTCAACATTTCCAACAAGCTTTATATTCACTGGTAATGATAATTTTGTCAATTGAGTGATGGTAGTAGCGTTCTGGTCTCATGTGTGGAATGAATGTCACAATGTAAGTTAAATATCCGTTACTTGGCTTCTTATGTAATTTCTTCATGTTTTATTGTGAGTAAGTTGAAGTGGTTTGCGGAATGACATTGTCACCCGCCCTGCATACACATATGCTGTACGTCCATTGTATGTGCATATAATGTACCGGTAGTTGTTTGCAAGGCGGGGGGGGGGGAGGGGAGGTATTGAAACTAGTAGTTGTGAAAGATACAGTATTGTAAACTAACCATAGGCATGTTTTAAAATATATGAATCTTAAATTTTAGCTTTAAACATGTTTACTTTTTTGCCCAGGGTGTGGGGTGTGTGCAAATGTATTGTGTTAATTTTCAGAAAAAAACATAAAGCCAAAATAAGTTTTATTGTACCATTGGTTTGGGTGGAATCATGTCATAAAATGGCAATATAACACAGATGAATAATATGTGTGTTTGCATGTCTTGTCAATAAGTGATAGGCAAATAATCATTTAAGGGACTGTTGGTTTTCACCATTACGGAATTGTTTTTGTTAACCCACTGGATTTGTCAGCAAAACTTTGGTTTTTAGTCTGGTTAAGGGAACCAATCTTAATGCTCTTGAGGATATGGCAGCACGTGTGTTTTGTTATCATACCCTTATTTTCCATTTTTGTATTGCAAATTTAAACATTGGGAAAACTTTGGAGGTACTGAAGGTCCGGAGGACCTGCACTTCATGTTCCAGAAATCTACAGGTCATAATTCTGTGGAGGTCTGTCAGTCGCTGCTTAAATATGATTAATTTTTCTCTCTCCCTTTCTCTCTCTTCTTCAGTCAATGTTTATGCATAATTCATTGCTCTCTCTCTCTCTCTCTCTCTCTCTCTCTCTCTCTCTCTCACACACACACACCTGCAAATGCATCACTTCTAAGTTTGTGCCTTTAAAAGGAAATTAGAGTTGTTCCACAAAAATAAAGAACATATAGTAAACACTCAATCTTTTTGAAGGGTAAAAATTATCAAACATTCAGATACATCATTTCATAAGTACAATATTTATTCTTTATAGCATTTGTGGTGCTTTTACTGCATAGAATATAATTATATAGAAGTCAAGTATGTTTATAATTTTGTTTGTACCATCCCATAGGAATGATCTGATTTTTAGAATTTCTGACTTTGAAAATACTGAATACAATAATTGTAAAAATCACAACTTTTTCATATTGAAATTACTATTTAATGGGAAGATGTAGATCGTCTGTAAAACTCATCTTTTTAAATTTATAATTATTGTCCATTCAATGAAGCAGGACCTTCAATGTTTAGGGCATGATAGTGGGTACACCACAATTTGTGATGCCCTGACTTGCATGTGTTTTCTAACATTTTCAGGCCTTGATTCAAATTGGGTTTTTAATTGATGATGGGTGTTCAACTTTGCCCAAAGTTCAGTTCCAGATAAACTTTGTTTATCAATACTGTCATGAATTAAGTATAAATAGTGCAGTTTAAGGTAAAGATTGATTGTCAATGGTGCTGTTTAAGTTTACCTATTACAAATATTGCAATTTATTATTATTAATTTCAATGTGTATGTGTGTGAGCGTGCGATAAATGTAGTTAGAAAATTTTTTAGAGATATTCTATTGAAAACTTTATTAATTTCTTCTAGGCTTGAATCAATAGAATGAATAGGACCAGGATTAATCCTTTTGTCATGTCTTAACCTACAATTATCATAAGAAAAGCACCCATCATTTCTAAATGCTGTGTGGCAATGACCACCATCACAACCTCTGCAATACTTCTAAGGGATGAAAAATATGTTCTTGAGCTGTGCTCTTGCTAATATTAATAGTTATTGCTTATCAGTATATAGAAATGCAGTTTGTGTTATCATTTTAGGCTTTAGCCACATGAAGTAAGTTAAAAGTGTAAGAGGTATATGCACAGGCCTGTAGCCAGCAGTTTCAAAGGGGGGGGGGGACTTTTTCTGAAAAAATGGACCTTTAACCATATTATCCCTATGTACCTAGGTCAAATTTTACCCAGAGTGGACCTTTTTCCAGCAAAAATGGGGGTTCTTTCGAACCCCCCGAACCCCCCCTGGCTACGGGCCTGATGCAACTAAATGTTTTAGTTGTTAGTTAAATGTTTCATGCATTGTTTTATTTATAATGTTTTGGTCCTTGTAGCTGTTGATTTTCAGGGTGCGAGTTTTGGTCCTTTTAATATATCTCTGCCTCTCACATGCCTCCCCATGATTCTGGTTGAATGGAGCCAAGATTCAGTTATGATTTTATACATATATTAAACATGCACATGCATGCACACACACTAACATGTACACGTACTACATGTGCACAATGTTGCTCAAGCAAGCTGGTCTTTAAAATACTAAATCTGGTCTTCATGAAAATAATCAATTTTTTTAATGAATAGTCTTTGTATGAGTTTTCACTCATGCAATTCTGTATTTTTGCCCAAATCCTATTAGTACACAGATAGTTTCTATTCCACATTTTTGTCTTCAGGCGACATAAAAGACGGAAAGAGTGTGTCAGATGCTGAGAGCATTAAAGAAAGAGGTAAGATGGTATACATCAAATTTAACAGGCATTTATTTATAACACACTTTAAAAATGTACCCACACAATAAGCTGACTCTCTTGCACAATCACTGAGTTAATTCACTGTTATCTACCGGTATTTTTATTGAATGTATATCTTAGAATATGTGATATCCTTATTGTGGACAAGTATGGTTTCTATTTTTTCTTCAGATGATGTTAAAGACACAAGAGCTGTGACACTCAGACATGAAGGAGAGAGGTTAAGGCAGAAGGGGCAATAGAATAGGGATCTATTTATTACACTGATCAGAAGCGGATCCAGAGATATTTTCTGACAGTCTTCCAAATTTTCTTTGTTGATCCATCTTCCATTTTTGACCAT